GCTACAGCAGGTTTTAATAGCAGATTGGAGCTCTGTGCTGCTATATGTCTGTGAACTTATATAATAATTCTAAATAAGACAGAAAAAGCCATTAATAAACAGTGATGAGGAGATTCAGAAAGGGAATGAAATGGATGATGGTTTTCATGTCAGAGAACTGAAATATTTGTGGAAATATGGTTTGTAGAAACTTGAGCATTCCCTCTTGAGCTGCAGCTGTGGTGGGACAGTCCTCTGCTGCTGCAGAGCAGGCGGCGGCAGAGGGACAGCAGGCTGAAGTTGCATTGCCCTTTCTGTGCCAGCATCTCTCTTGTCAATACAAGCTTCTGGTGGGTAGAGATTTCCTCATTGTAACAAATAGAGACCTATCACTCACCTTGTGTGACTTAAAGCTTCATGTTGAAGGATGATTTGCAGAGTGAGGCATTCATACTACTTTGGCTTCTGCTTGGATCCACTGCATGCTGGCCCAGAAAGGGGCCCTCCATCAACCCACAGCCTGCCAGGGCTGCTCCAATGAATGCCCCCCCCCCCCTTTTTTTTTTTGGTTTCTCCACAGCCCTGTCTCCCCCAAGACAAACTGTTTCCACCTGCCAGCCGTGCAGTAGAGTAGCAGCACAGTGAGGACTTGGTTGTTTGATAGCAACACTGCCTACAGACCTTAGGAGAAATTACTAGGGCAAGGGCATGAACATCTTATCTACTTTTTTTCGTGAGGAAGGAGGTGTAAAGGCTGTGACACGTGAGAGGCCCATGGGGTGGGCAGAGCTTGAGGGGGCCAGAGGAGCTGGAGGGGTGGTGGTGGTGGCTGGGCTCAGCAGCTGGAGGGAGCAGGCAGGGCTGCTCCACTGAGCGCATCACGCCAAGCGCGGGCGAGCCTCTCCCCTCCGCTGGGCAGTGTCGCTCTGAATTGATGTCAAAGCAGATGAGATTTCACACCACACAAATTTTTGAATTTAAAAGGGGAGGGAGGTGGGTAGAGAAGCAGGAGAGGAAGAGGGGGAGGGAGAAGATAGAGCCTGCCCAGGCACCAGCACCTCTTGCTAAAGCCACGGGGAGGGTGGCAGGCATCCTTCCCCGGCATTCCCTCCAGCCTCTGTGCTCCCTGCTCCCTTTCACTTGTGTTGTGTCTCCTGCAGGCAGCGTGCTCTGTCTAGAGCTGTTTACAGGGCAATAGTTTGTTCTTTGTTTCTTCATCTCCTTTCTCACAGAGTGAGTATCCACTCCTCCTCTGCTTCTGTCTTTTAACCTCTTGTACTTCTCCAGGTTTCCTTCCTGAGGGTGCGTTACCTCTTGCTTCCCCTGATCCCTCTCTTCTGTTCCCTTAGCCTGGTGGCCTCCTGTCCTTCACTATCTGTTCTCCTGTCTCTCATCTCCACTCCCATCTCCCCTATCAGTGCTCATGGCATCATCACTCTCTGATCCTCTCCTCATTTTCCCACCTCTTACTTTCATTCCACCTTTATTGCCCATTAACCCTGTTGAGACACCCAGGAGCTTCTTAGTGTCAATGCCCTGCATCTCTCTCTCCATCTAGTCCACTCCATTCTGTGTTCTGTGTGCCAAGCAAACGCATCTCTTCACACAACAGCTCAGAGTATATCAAGGTGATATGTTTATACCCATCAAAGCATGAGGCAGAAGGTTGGTCCTGTGGACTTCTGGACCAGAGATGGCATGTGCTGTGACCCCGAAAGGTTGCTGGGATGCCTGAGGTTTGCTCCCATTCCCCTTTTGCTTTGAGAGGTGAGTGGAATCTCTCATGGCCTTTATGAGTCCCACCTGCCCATGCAGCCACCAATGGAGCTAGAGAAATTTCTTGTTGACCTCTCTAGGAGCAAGTGAATGTTGAATTAGTCATAGAGGCCACAGGTGGACATTTCACCAACAGTGGCAGCTGCTGCGTAAAGTAATAACAGGGTTGTGATGCTGTGGGTCACCCACGGACTTCAAGCAGGATATGCCAAATGGAAGCTGGTGTCCAGGATTCTTTTTGATATCAGAAGTCTAAAGGGTTAAACACACCCTTCCTTTCTGGGATACCACTTGCTTTATCCCAAGTAAGGTTGGGATAGGGGTTTAGGAAGCCCAGAGGCAGGACCTGAGCTGAACCTGGTGCCCCAGACCAGCTGCCCCTCACACCTTTTCATGTTGCAGGAGCCTCACATCCTGTGTCCTGTGGTGCTAGTGTCCCCAGGCTTGCCAGCTGTACCTCACTGTGGGTACAGCACTGTAGCTGAAATGCTCCGGATGAGCAGGTGGCTACAGCCCCAGACAGATGGGTGTGGCTTTGCTACTTCTGTGACAAAACCAGAACAAAACCCTCACCATAGATGGACCAAATTCTCACCTGCCCAAGCAGTGCTACACGCGCAAATCACCAAGAGTTTGGGACCTGCAGCCAGCTGGAGTGTATCCGGAGGATGCTGAACTATGTGGTGTGCATACACCTGCCCTTTAATCAAAAGAAAGAGAAATTATCTGGCTTTTGAAGATAGATGCCCTCCTAATCTTGTTTTTCTCCTCTCTGTCCTGCTTGTCCTGAGGTTCTCTTCTGTTTGAACCAACAGGGCTAAATTCTGCCCTAATGTAAATGTCTGCTGATACAAATTGGTGTGATTTTGCAAAAACCATTGGCTTTGGATTTATGCTGGCTGTTAGTATGAGCAGGATTTGGCGCATGGAGCGTGATAGCCATAGCTCACTGTGTCGTGCTCTGCATTTCCAACCAGCACTGCAGGTGATAAGCAAATCTTGTGGAGAGGCAAGAGGGTCCCTCTCATGCCAAAAAAAAGCTTCCCCTGGATGTCCTTTGTGTAGCCAAGTTAGCCAGACAGGCTGCAGTTTTGGGATGGACACTGTGGAAGGGTTTTAGCCCACAGGATCCCACAAATGGGGTGAAAATTTTTCATTTACTACACTCCTGCATCTCACACTTTAGGGAAAAGAGGGAAGTGCATTTGTAGCTGCTGCTTCCCGTGGGTGCAGTACAATGCACCCGGCATGTGCGGCGCAGAGGGTGAGTCAGACCTTGCCTGCCCCTGGGGTCCCTGCGCCTGGCCGGGGCGGGCTCTGCACCTGCCCCCTCGGGCTCTTCTGGCAGGCTGCTCCTCCCTCCAGGTGTGCTCCACATCTGCTGCTCCGCTGGGGTCTGCTGTGCCCGGTTGCCCTGGCCCGGGAGGCTCAGGCTGGGAGAGCCATGGTGTCTCAGCAGCCTCCTCGCCACGGCCGAGCGGGAGGCTGTGGACGCAACACCTGCAGTCCCAAAGCCACGGTGTCTCCCGTCCTGCTATCCCTCTCCTTCCCTGAGCTTCCTCCTCCCCCCCAGCCGCATTACACATAAAAGGGTTAAGAGCTCACTTGGGCCCCCTGCTCGGAGAGAGGGCAGTTGCAATGTTTTATCTAGACCCAGTGAGGATATATATAAATTCCCTCCGTCTCTTCGGATCTATTTATAGCACGGCAGGCAGTGGCAAAGGCTCTCCTCAAGGCTTCATCTCCTACAAACAGTCTTCACAGACAGCAGAGAGATAAATTTAGCACACGAGATTTCTTAAAGAGCCAGCAGCTCTGTGGGGCTGCTTGCCTGCCCTGCTACAGCCCCTACCCCCATACTCTCACTGGGGCAGCCCTTTCCCATGGGTGCTTGCCCCCCTGCCTCCTCCCCTCCCTTTTTGGTTTTCTATTCAGCTTCACTCATTCTCTCCCCCTTTCTAGTCTCTTTTTCTATCATTGAGGTTTTCCTTTTTTTTTTCTTCATTTTTGCTGGTTCGCCATGTCATCCTCTGCTTTCTTGTTAGGGTTTTTTTTTCCCTCTCTTTTCTCCAAGGCCACGGGGCTCAGAACATAAAGCTTTCTCGTTAACAGTTCACTGGTTATGCCTACATAGTAAAAAATGTGTAGCTTGATTAATGCCTTCCAGATGGTTAATTGAAAAAAAAAAAAAAAAGAGGGAGAATGCAGCCCCTCTTCAGCACTCTGCACACATACATTGCACAGGAAGAAAACTGCATTAAAGGGTGAGGGGAGCAATATATCTGAGAAGTAAGGGCAGCCTGTTAACTCCAGGGCAGCATTGCCAGGGTAGTAAGTTAGGTGTTGATTTGTTCTGTCCCTGCTTCATCCTCTCTGCCCTCATCTATGCCACCCCAAAATTCCCCATCCCAGAAAGCGATGCTCCTTCATGCACAACAGGTACCACACACAAACCCTCCTTGTCCCCCTATGTGAACCCCACTGAGAGCAACATGCCACTCTGCTCCCAGCATGGGCTCTGACATCCCCAAAGCCACAGCAACCCTCATTCTCTCCCCATATTTATTTCTGGGGGGATACACATTCCCCCCACCGCATGTCTCTCACAAATCTTGATCATGCAGTTGGTTGCTTAAGAGTGACTGTTACCTGAGCTGTGAGCCCACGGGAGCAGAAGGGGCTGTTGTGGGGTCTGGGCTTTTGGATTTGGCAGTGCCACAGTGCGTGCAATGGAGGGGGCATGAGTGGGTGGGGACTGCAAGTAGCGTCATTAGGGAAGCTTGGGAGGAAAGGGAGGGTGATAATATGGTCGGTTATTCTTCTCCATAAGTCATTGCTGGGCAATTTCATTAATACATCTGTGTTATGGATGTGTGTTGGCTGTCTCTCTCTTACAAACTGACATGCCTCTCCTCTTCTCCCCTTGCCTGTAGCTCTGCCTACTCCTGGTTTCTTTGTCTCTCTCAAAAGAGAGAGAGAGGAGGAACACAAATCCTTTCCCACCCTGTTAATAGAGATACTGCCTTGCTGACGTGAGTCACGAAGGGTTTAAGCTGTACAGTTGAGGGTGAGCTGCATCCAACCCCCAACCCTGCACACCTCCCACCATGGATCTCCCTGGTTTCCAGGGAAACAGCTGCCCTAAATGCTGCCTGACTTTCACGTCTGCCTTTCATTTATCTTTTTTTTTTTTTTTTTAAATGAAAAAACACAAACCTGGTATTTTTTCTCCCTTCCATTTTCAGGATCACCACCACAGCTGCTTGCATGATGGACCTGCGGAGGTACCCCCTGGACCAGCAGAACTGCACGCTGGAGATCGAGAGCTGTGCGTATGCCTCACACCCGCCCTCCGGTGCTTGGTGCCCTCCGATGGCACCCTTCCCAGCCACAGCTATGGGATGCCTCCCAGGGGTGTCACAGCCCACCCCTCCTGGAGAATGTCCCCTGGGGCAGGACCAGGGTCCCTCAACAGCACTTCATCCTGAGGCAACCTCATGGCTGAAATGCCCAGGAAAATGGAGCTCTAGCAGCAGGCTGAGTATTAAAATCAGTCTCATTCTCAGAAGGGTGGTGGAAGCCTCCCTTAGCCCTAAGAAAGCTCTAGTAGCCTGCCCTCGATTGTGGCTGGCCCTGCTCTGTGATGAAGGTGGGACCAGAGCCTTCCTGAGTCCCCTCCCTGCCTGGATCTTCCCCTGACTCCTATGGAAAACCTCTCCCGACCGCACTGGTGGAGGAGGTCTGACTCTCCCTCATAAAAATGCACTGCAGTATCCCCTCAGGAGCGGTCCAGAGAAGCAGATCTCACAGTAATGATGATGCAGTTTCAGTGGTGATTATCTGAGAATTGCTTTTTTCATAAAAGAGGTCCCACAGCGTCCACAGTCGGGAGGTGCCAAGCCTCCTTCCCAGCCCTGCCTGTGCCCGGGAGCCCTCCTCCATCTCACTGCTAGTGCAGGGCGTGGTGTGGCATGGGAATTAGGTCCTGCTGGAGGCACTAGTGACATGTCATTTCTGGCACTCCCTAGCATTTTGAGAATAGTTCATGGTACAACCAAGAAAACAGAAGGCAGAGAATTACCCACATTCCCTGTGTTGTGATTTTGTTCTTAATGGGACATGTCAAGCCAATTTGTTAGTTGAAGCTATGTTTTCTTATGAGTTTTCTAAGATCCATGCAGACATGAAGAGACTCAATCCTTTCCTTCCTTTTGTCTGTTACACACTTGTACATTTGAAACCTGCAGGGCTCCATTTTGTTTGCTTCCAAGTCCACACAATTGAGGAATAACAATACTTTAATGGCTGGCTTAAAATCCAAAGTATATCCCACCACAACCCTCCTGCAACAAACCACCAAAATAACCTTTTTGTGGTGCAGGAGTGCTGGCTTTGTAAAACACTAGCAGGCAGCTGGGTTATCCTTCCTCACAGCAGCTCAGGACACTGACCTGCAACAGATAAGCCAGTACTGGCACTGCCTGTTGATCTCATCCCTCCATCCCAAAAACAGCCCTCACCACGTATATCCCTGCCTAGCTGTGTGCAAGGATTCAACAAAAACCTAATGAGGCAGGTAGCAAACAGGCTGTTAGTCTGACATTTTAAGATGTCTATCAGTGCTTTATGATATTTCAGGTTGAAATGACCTGTCTTTGTGAAAGTTATTTTACTTTTTAAAAGTAAAATGGAAATTTGGTTTTCTTTTCAAAGCTCGGAATCAAAGTGAAGCATTTATTTTTAGACTGAACAACCTTTCCCTTTCAAATGACTTTAAAAAATGCATTCCTGAAAAACGTGTTTGATTTCATATTGCATAATGCCATAATAAAATTAAAAAATGGTACCAAACACCAGCAGGTTATAGAATAAAAGGAATAGAGCTAGTTAACTATGAGATCTCCTAAAATTAGTAGCTGCAATTTGACATTTTCATTGCTGATTAGGAAGTAAGTTTGAAGTCACTGCTGTAAAATTTGCCGATGATGAAGACAGCAGTTTGTGTGTCTCTCTAGATGCACATTTGAACGCCTCCCAGACTGAATGCATCCTGAATGTGTTTGAATACAGCTAAATGCAGAGGTCTATGCCCAGGTGTGGGAGTGCAGGTCATGCTGCCAGGCCAAGGGACTTGAACCCACGCAGGTATTGGCCGGGGGAAAGGAAGAAGGGATGGTAGCCCCGAGAACCACTGCTGGAGGTTTTGCAGCAGGGCTCTGACAGAAACGGCTGGAGTGAGCCCTGGTTATATAAACCAGGGGAGTTGTGAGTCAGAGCAGGGAATCGATTGGCCTCTGAACACGTCGCTGGTGAGACGAAGGAAGGGACTCTGTTTCCAAAATTTAGAAAGGAAGTTGAGAAATCAGAAGACGTTGAGAAAAGATGCTAAAAAGTGGTTCAAGAGCTAGAGTAGATGTTTTGCAGTAAGAAACCTCAGTAGCTCAGTCTGGTTGGTTTGCTGCAAAGGAGGTGGAGAGGTGACTTGTTTACAGACCGAGTGCACCTCTGCAGAGGTGGAGTGCTGGGCAGAGAGGGCCGGGTAACCTCCTAGAAAAATTCAGAACAAACACCAGAGTCTGAAGGTCTGAGCCAGAGGAATTTAAAAGAAAAATTGCACACAATGTTTTTAGATTTGAGAATGTTTGAGCTGCTGGAATCAAGCACTGGGAGGAGTGGGAGACTTGACTGTTTTTTGCTGCTTTCTACACTTGGTCTCAGTGTTCTGGCAGAGACACTGCAACCAGATGCAAATACCAGTTCCTGTGCACAAAGCTGGCATACGCAAGGCAGTGCTACAGCCTGGGACACCCTCGTGTCTGCTGCAGATAAGACGATAACCTAGGAGTCCTGAATATCTGTGGGATCATGGGTGTGAATGCTTTTTCATTTACTGGCATGGGAGCAGGAGCATCCTATAGGAGGAGGAGGTGAGGTCCTGGCTTAGCTGATTTACATCAGAAGCAGATCTGGCACGGCATTCAGAAGATTATTATTTTTCAGCACCCTTGAATAAATGCTGTAGTGACTTAGAGTGCAGGATGTGGGCTTGGAGACTACATAGTCATCAAGTAATTCAGTTTGGGAAGAGACCTCAGGGTGTCTCTAGTCCAGCCTGCAGCTCAAAGCAGGGTCAGCTATGGTATCATAGCAGGGTCAGCAACCTGGTGTCATACCAGGTTGCTCAGCTTTTTATCCACTTGGGAGCTGCAGGATGACACTATCCTCAAAGGTTCAGCTCTGACATGGGGTAACCCTTGGGCAAAGGTTCAGCTCTGACATGGGGTAACCCTTGGGCTAGCTAGATGGAAGAATTTCTCCTCCATTCAACTGCTCTTCGTTTCACTGATCCTACTAATACACTGAGTGGCACCTCTCTCTAGTGGATGCTAGCCCTCCTGGGTATTGCTAGCCAGCTGCCTCTGCTGTGAGGGCTTGTGGATAAGGCAGGCAGCTGTGCTGCAGTGCAGCTTGTGAATAAAAGCTGTCTGTGGGCATAGGTGAGGATCATGCTCTAAAGGAAACCTTGCACCACGCCCTACCAAAGCCTGTGCATATCTTACTGCTTCTTTGCACAGAGGTGCTCCCATGACTTTGCTTAGCGTAACAGAATACCCATTGTGCATCAACAGGCATAGTGCTTCAAAATCCAGCTTGCCACATGTGTCGTTAATTTTCAAGTGGAGATGATTCCTTGCCCACAAGGGCAGGGCTGTGAGCACCACGCTGATGGGAGGGGAGCTGCGTGATCTTGTCCCCTGGGCCTCATTGCCCATGAGTTCAGAGCAGCTGGGGAGTCTTTCTCCTGGGACTATGGCTTTGGGCTCCTCAGCACTTCCAGCCTGTGTAGCCCTGTCTGACGTGTATAGTTTGGGTTTAAAGCAGGAGGCTGTACCCTTGGCTGTGTTACCAAATCCGTTACTCTGAAACACAAGGGTTTGTTACCAGCCTGGCTCCCCTTCCTCTCCTCCCACCACTGCTCTTTTCAGCCAGCACTTCATAAAAGCAGGCCCCAAGCTCAGACACTGACGACTTCTTGGCTCCAAGTTTTAGCTGTGAGTACTTAGAAGAGGGAGATGCTCTGATGTTAAAATTTCTTTTCAACTGCTGTTGTAAATCTCTTTCTCTCTGCGAATTTTTAGTACTTAGATTCTCTGTTTACCTAGTCCCCAGCAGAATGTATTGTGTGGCTTCCCCCTTCTGGTAAGAGGAGGAAGGTTTTAGGAAGCAAAACGCCTTGTTTGGTGCATTTGACAGAGGCTTCTGATGCACAAGCCCCTGTCATGTCAGCCACGGAGATTATGTAGCACAAGTCAAGGCCTGATGGACCACTTCTCACCTTGTTCTCCTGAATCCTAGCGAGAAGTGGGGGTTCTGACCAATTGTTTCCTCTTCTCCGGGGGACTGTACTACCAAGCTCGACCAAACAAGAGAAGTAGAAGGGAGGGGCTATGCTTGCTATTGGTTGGTGTGCACTTCCTTTGAATCCATTTGAGATCACCTTAGTGAAAACGGGGGTGTCATCTGCTCCAGCCTGTCATCTTAGTTCTCTCTCTGTGCTTCTTCACCTCTACAGACGGTTACACGGTTGATGACATTGTCTTCTTCTGGCAAGGAAATGATTCTGCTGTCACAGGGATGGAGGTGCTAGAACTACCCCAGTTCACCATTATTGAGCAAAGACTGGTCAGCAGGGAAGTGGTCTTCACCACTGGTGAGTCTCTGCTGAGGGGATCTGGTGGAATGTGTGAAGCTTCTGCTGATCGATATCAGTGTGGCTGCTCCTCTGAATCAGATGCTGAGGCACTAACTTAGGGTCTAGGCTTCAATTTAGGGTCCTGTTCCTTTGGAAAAGAAGCATCTTCTGTGCCCACACATCTTCTGTGGTTTTGTTTTGGTTTTTTTTTCCTTGTCTTCAGAGACTTACAGGATCATTTTTTTGTTGCCATTGCTTTCACTTCTTAGTGAAAACACCAATTGAACTCAAAACAGAAGCTCTTTAAAAGGTTCTCAGCCTTTACCTTATTTTTCTGTGATTTGCAACTGTCTCTCAAAGCTAATGTAGGTTCAAGATTATATCAGTTGAAAACCGAATGGTCTATGAAAAGATGCAAACCAATTTGTCCACAGCAATAAAAAGATCTGGAGGGAATACCTTGGACAGTTCAGATATTGCCTGTTGGGAACTTGAAGGGATTCGGATTTTCTGGCTGTCTTCACTTTGATCTGGCATGGAGTTCACTGCCAAAACAGCATGCCACACACCTATTTACACACCATTTACAGGACAATCCTGTAAATGCCATGAAATCACAGCCTGAGTCTATCAGCAGTGGTGGCAGGTGGTCATGTTGCTACAATAGTGCCATGAGGACATGCTGGGAGCAGGGTCCCCCTACAGTGGTAATCTGGAGACCCACAACAAGACTCCAAAAAAAGTTTTTAGTCTAAATAGGTAAGACTTTCAAAAAAAGACTGGTGAAATACTGTTCTCAAGATATGCAAATGGAACATAATGGTGAGAGACCATGACTTACTTTTTCCCAGTCTACCTCCTTTAATTGATCATTGAAGACTATCCTCCTGTTACTTTAGCTGCCAATCCACAATTACACCCATGTTTCAGGCTGCTGTATTGCCTAAGGGATGGAGGTGGGAAGGAAGAATGACTTGAACTTTGTTTCACACCAATGAGAGAGGCCCTGCTTTAACGTTGTCAGAATGATCCTGCTCCAGTGGAAAGATTATAAAAGTACTTATTGTCATCACTAACCCCATGAGGTTTGCTAAAAGATTAGGAGGAAGTTGCAAGAATTTGGTGAAGAAAAAAAAAAAAAGATCCACAGATTAACTAACAGTGCTCTATTTGCATATGAATTTGCCCAGTCTGACCATACCCATTTTTAAAACAGCATGGGAAAAATATGATTCAGATCTTCATTGCTGTTCAGAGGAAAATCTAGTACATGAAACACTGGAAAATCATCTTACTGCATCCGGATATAGGGTTGAAGTCTCCTGTGTAAGCCTGTATCAAATTGGCATGTACCATCATAGCAACTTCAGTACGGAACAGACATTCCCCCATGACGTCTGATATAATAACATAACTCTTGTAAAACTTCCTTTCTTCCTAATATTCTGAGCCACCTGAGCAAACTCTGAAGAGCCCTCTTCCAAAACTTGGTGAGTCTGCAAAACCAAGTAAAGAAAAAAAGAGAGATTTCTCATTATCTCTGCCTCATGAGAACATTTTGCAAATAAAACATCATTTCATAACCTGAGCTTTTACCATAAGTCCTCAAACTACTTCTCCCTTTAATGTCTTATTGACAGGTTCATATCTGCGCTTATCCTTGAGTTTCCGGATTAAGAGGAACATTGGTTACTTCATCCTGCAGACTTATATGCCATCTATACTCATCACCATCCTGTCCTGGGTCTCCTTCTGGATCAATTACGATGCTTCTGCTGCACGAGTGGCACTGGGTAAGTACCTTTTAATTTTAAAATTAAAAGAAGATGCCTTTTTTTGAGGGACATCAGCTAGGATAGCTGTAAGAAATAAAATACATTTTTCTTTATGAGGTAGCAGCTTAGCAAGCCATAGAGGTCTGTCGAACATCCCAACTGCAGGACTTCTTCTTCTGAGACCAAACTTCTAATTTTCATCCAGAAGAGCTACTTTTTTTTTGGTTCAGAAGTATCAATATGTCCTAAGCTTGAGCCTGTATTATTTGCATTGGTAAAAGTTCTACCATAAATTTCTGCATATGAAAGTTTAAACTCTATTACAAAAGCATAAGTGGTCACAGCTTCTCAGACATGTGAGAATCTGAGATGCCATGAGCCCACCAGTTCCTTCACGCTGGTTTGAACTTGGTTTCTTAAGAAGAGAATTCTGGGCACCTTTTGGTTGTTGACCTTTTGATCAACAGGTATGGCAGGACCAGTTAGTTGAACAGTAAATGTTGATTGTGGGTGGCCAAAGAGTATAAAAGTGGTAAATGAATGGCTAGGAAATTAAAATAAAAGTGAAAAACACAACAAAGTGACTTTATACATTTTCATTATATTTTAGGCCACATACAAACACTTTTTGTAGCTGAAGACCTTCACAACCAAAGCAAATGTGGGACAGTAGTTAAAGTCCAAGTTCTTCTTACGCACATGCTCCCCTAAATAAGAATCTTTTCCTATAAAAGGAAAAAAAACAGGTCTTTTAAGCAACAGAGGGGAAGCAGAGATGAATTGCAGATGATGATTTTGAAGAAGTAACCAGAGAAAAGAGGGATAGCTGGCATATAAGAATGGGGCTGTCTTACATGATAGAAAGTTCAGAGGAAACAGGAGAGATGAGGAGGGAGAAGGATTTCATCTATGAGTGGGAAAAGGCTCAGAAAGGCAATGGAGCACAGGTAGAGGCTGAGTCTTACAGAAAAGGTCAAGGGCTTAAATTAGCACTTTGACAAGACAGAGTTTGAGAAGACTCGAAGTAGGGGTAGTTTGTACAGAGATATAAAATAGATAATTTGGCTGTGCTTGCTTGGAGATGCTGCAGCAGGGAGACAGGGCAGGAACAAGAGCATCGTAAATTAGAAAGGTAAGTTGCATTGACAAGAGTATAATCAGTGAGAGAAGAAAAAGAGACCATGGCAGATATTGCTGGCACAGTGAAAGTACAAGCAGAAGGGTGGACATGAGATACACAGCTGTTGAATTTCTGCTGACGTCCGGATTCAAAGGAGAAGATAGAAGAAAAACATTGTAGATCAGAACAGGAACAGCTTTCCTGAAGCTGTTCCTGACAGCTCTCTATCTAACTTGTCCTTAAAAAACTCTAAAGGAGACTCCACGGACTCCTCTGGGTACTTTACCTCCAGATTTACCTCCTCGTACAGTCAAAAAGCTTTTCTTTCTCTCTGTCCTAAGTCTCTCTTGCAATTTGTCTAGTTTTTAACAGAGTTGTGGAGAACATTCTATTCCTACTCTTTCTTTGTGGCAGACTTCTGGATATTTAGACTACTGTCTAAATATAGACAATATAATGTATTGTATGCATATAAATATACCTCCCTTCTGTTTACTCTTCTGTACACCGAAGACTACTAGTTCTTAAAATCTTCTATCAGGAATTAGACTAAAAACATGGTGAGGCTGAGGAAACAGGGGAAGCAGAGGTCCAGGATACACAGAGAGGTTTGAGAGACATCACTGCACAGATAGGGCTGAAACCAGAGTAGAGATAGGGCTGAAACCAGAGTAGAGATAGAGCTGAAACCAGAAGAGCAAATTAAGGTCATGGAGACTAAGAGAGCTGCCAACAGAAAGATGTGGGTAGGCACTAGAAGAAAAGGAAATCATCAAGGTAGTAGGACAAGCAGGACAGCTGAGCTAAGGAAGTGGGAAAAGGAGACTAGGTGGAAGAAGAAAAGTTCCTGCCCTAAAAGAAGCAGGAAGGCTCATTGACATCTTTTTTAACCTGGTGGAAGACTGTCAAAGAGACAGATCTGAGGCCACTCTGACAGTCCAGAGAAGGGAAGAAGCTGAGAAGAAAGCAAAGAAGGGAACTGAAGCTGTGGGAGTAATGGTGTACCAGGCTTTTGGAGACTGAGTAGATCGGGAGAAAAAGTGTTCAATGAGAACAAGAAATATTTATTTAAGATGCAGGAAGTATGAGTAAGCTTCAAGAGGAGAGCATGAGAACCATAGAGGGAGTGTGTACAGATGATACTTGAAGCAGTAAGTAGTAAAGATGGTGAAAGGAAGGTGGGAATTGATGGGGTTAAGATGTAGACAGAAGCCTATAAGACAGGCAAAAAAGAGCACCGTGAACAGGGAATCTCTTCACTCTTTCTCCTACTGATGGCATTGGAAAGACACAGGAGATTGAAAGTCGTGTCAAAGATACTGAGGCATTCAGTAGTGTGGCAGGAAGCCTGTTGAGTTTATGAAGTTGAAAAAAGGGAGGAGAAGAGGTTATGGGACTGAGAGCAAAACTGAATGTTTTCTACCACACCAAGGGAAAGAAGAAGGATCAGAGAGGACTTAAAGAACCAAGGTCCAAAGGATGTTGATCCCCATCATCCTCATGATACTCAGCTTTAACATTTTGTCCTGCTGTTGGGAGCTGGTTTATTTTCTGCAGGAATTTGTACTGGGCAGCTGGGCTCAGAATAATGACCATATTCTTCCCAGTTGCGCTGCTCCCATCTCTTCTGAAGTTGTCCAGCTGTGAGGAGGGATGGGGAAAATGATAGTGGTGTTTCAGGAAAACGTTCCACCCTGGTAACAGAGCACCTACCCTCTCCTTACAGGGGTCACCACGGTACTTACAATGACTACCATCAACACCCATCTGCGGGAGACTCTCCCCAAGATCCCTTATGTGAAGGCTATTGACGTTTATCTCATGGGCTGCTTTGTCTTCGTGTTCCTGGCACTCCTGGAGTATGCTTTTGTCAACTACATTTTCTTTGGGCGAGGTCCCCGGCAGCAAAAGAAACAGAGCGAGCGGATTAGCAAGGCCAACAATGAGCGCCACCGTTATGAGGAGAAGAGGGTGAGAGAGCAGGTTTGTGCCCTTCTTTCATTGTGGCAGGAGAATCCAGACTCTCCACTGTCCATTCAGTCCTTGGTGAGCTGTGGAGCAGCCTTTCTCCTCATCATGAGAGATTTTCCAGTTTCCCTGTTTGGTGATTACTGGGAATTTTTTTCTCCTTGAACAGTTTGTCATCAGCCTCCAGCCAGTCTCATCAGGACCATACTCTAGCACAGGACAGGTGTACACAAAAGTACCCATGTAGCTTTTGGTCCTACTGTGTTGGCAGAGCCACACTACCCCACTGAAAAGTTTCTGACAAGCTCATGTGGCTAGTCCTTCAACTCCAGCATCAGTGAACAACATTTCCAAATGCAGAAGTCCAGCCTCAGAGCTCACAAATGACACCATCAGTGGTATTGTTACCCAGAAAAGAGTTCAAAATCATCCCTGATGGTGTGACTCTGTGTGCAGAGGACATCCCTACTACCTTTCTATCTGTCTCCCCTGTTCTAGGTTGACCCTTATGGTAACATCCTCCTCAGCACTCTGGAGATGAACAACGAGCTGCTGGCCACGGACATGATGAGCAGCGTTGGCGACTCTCGAAACTCTGTCATGTCCTTTGAAGGCTCAGGAATCCAGTTCCGCAAGCAGCTGGCCTCTCGGGATGGATTTGGTCACCACCCAACCCTGGACCGCCACATCCCTCTGACCCACCATGCTGCAGCCCGCAACCGTGCCAACTGCCGTCTCCGCCGACGGTCATCTAAGCTGAAGCTCAAAATCCCAGACCTGACAGATGTCAGCACCATTGACAAGTGGTCACGAATCATTTTTCCAATCACCTTTGGATTCTTCAACCTTGTTTACTGGTTGTACTATGTAAATTGATGCCTGCAGCCTCCGAGAGAGATAGGGACAGACACTCAGACAATAACAACACAGGAGTGTTGTGGTCTTTTGGGTTTGGGTTTTACTCTTTACTATCATTATCATTTATTCCTTTGATTCATTAGATTTATTCTAAGCTTACTCTTCTCTTTTCAGCACATGTAGAACCACAGAGTGTTGGAGAGGGTAAGGGAGAGAAGGGTATAAGGGAGGGGGTTGTGTTTCAGGGAGGGATGTGTTTGTCTTGATTTTGGTTTCCTGCTGCAGGACTTACTTAAACCACTGTAAAAACAAACAAACAAAACCACAAAGAACCAAAAAAGAAAGAAAAAAAAAAAGAAAAGAAAAAAAAAACACAAAAAAAAACAAACCAAGAAAAGTTTAAAAAAAGGGAAGGGAGGGAGATTTAAAGAAATGGAGTCAAAAACTGGTGGGAGCTATAGGTTATCTGGGTATCCTCACTAATATGCTATCCTCACTTCCATTTCACTACTGAATTTCATCTTTCTCTTCTCAGTATTATTATAGTTTTTTTAAATCTTTCTTCTGTCACTGCTTTTAACCCCTTCATGTTTATTCTTTCATGGATTCATGAGGTGGTTGGTGGGATTTCATTCTCATGCTACAAGATTGTTCTTTTTCTCTCTCCCTCTCTCTTGCTTACAAGCCTAAAAGAGTCTTTTAAACCAACAAATAAAAATATATTTATTTTGGAAGAGCTGGGAAAGGGGGAGGAAAAGGCAATTACTTGGGAGGGAAAGGGTAATGTGGGGTTATAGGAGGGGGGAGGAGATAGCTTATCAAAAACAAAGGCACATTTGCAAGTTGCCTTTTTCCACCTTCAGGAGTTTGCAAGCTGTTTGTCCTGTATGAATGTGTGTGTGTGTGTGCACATGTATGCACGTATGAATGTGAGTGTGCAAGCTTGTTTTCTGAGGAGGGGAGCTGGGGAGGGGGGTTTTATAATGTTTTTTGTAGGAAGAGAACACAGATGACATTTAACTGGGAGTGTTTTGGGGGGAATAGCAGGGTTTTGTTTACTCGTTGCAACTTTGTGAGGTTAGAGGTCAGAGTCCCAGCTTGTATGAGAAAGACAGAGCTGGGGACATAGTTTGTGCAAATACATACTTGCTGAGGAAAGAGATGGCTTTGGGCATCAGCAATGAGACAGTGCTGCTGTTCACTGCTGGCATCTGATCTGTAGTAGACTAACCTGATTCAGTCCTGAAAGGAGTAGTTGTTACTTATTATTCCCACCCCGCATCCTTCTTACTGAGTCTGGGGAGAATATCAACTGCAGGACTCCGAAAATTCAACCCTTGCCCCCCCTCCTCCCCAACCTGTTCCTTGTGCCACACAAGGGACTTCACACTCCAGCCCACCGAGTAACCATAGCCTGTGGCAAGGTGTGGGAAAGGATTGATATCATCTAACTTTGTTGTGCTTCAGGATGAAAAAATCCAGAAATTATAACTATCCCCTTTCCTATGAAGTTCAGAAGCAAATGGTGGGCTGGCACCCTCTGATCTGTATTGCTTCTATCAGGCCTTGCTTTATGTCTGTTAATACATGCAGAGTATAAAGAAGAGCACCCTGTGTCCCTTCTTGCAGAAGATAGACCTAAGGATGTAGTAGAGTTCCGTGGAGCATCATCCTGCTGGAAGACAATGCTCTTGAAACACTGGGCAGGGTGAAGGTTGCAGTGAAAATGCTGAGCTTGTCAGTGCTTGTGGAAGCCCCTAAATCTGTAGCAGCTTCTATCCACAGGCGCTCATTATAGAGGTACAAAAGAGTGTCTTGGCCTTGGACAGCAAGGCCAACTTTTTCCAAAGGAGCCAGTGGATTTCAGGAAAACCACTGAATTATTGGCCATTTTGCCAATCACTGATGAATGATAATCTCCCTTACAATATTAATAAAAGCCATGAAAATAATAAATTCACAAGTGCAAAACTTTAACCCTAGGGTCATCCTGCCATTCCTGGAGCAATGATGAGAACCTTGTTCTCACCTTATGAAGGTTTTTACATGCCAGACACACAGACATAAACACACACTGCCTTGAATCTAACCATCCCTTTATTTTCCTGCTAGCATTCTCTTCTTTTTTCTTGATTCTCATTGCTTGGGAAAGCAGAGTGATCCTCTGAGACCAGGGAAACTCTAGTTTTTCAAATGACAGATGCATCTAATGCACATCTTTTCATTCACTAATTTATGTCTGTACAGTGCTACGAAAATGTGAATCACTGACCTAGTAACACTGAAGTCATGGAAAGTTTTGCCTTGACTTGGATGAAGCAGGATCAAGGCTCATCAGAGTAATAAGTATTGTTATTTTTATATCAGTAATGTGTCTTATACATTTTCTACTAACAGAATCCTAAGCATAAAAATAGAGCATCCATCCTTCTCAATCGCCCCCAATTTCTGCCTCCCTCTCTCATGTTCATGCATGCACACATTCGGTTCAGGCCTCCCTGGACTCACCAAGGTTTTAGCACAACTGTTAAATCAGACTTAAGATTCCCAGCTGCCCTGCAGAACAGTCTCTTGCTGATTTCCACACTCAAGAACAAATGGGTTTTCCCAATATTGTTGCAGTTTATGGTCAAGATGGTTTTGTATAGGAATAAGAGACTGAAGAATGAATGAAGTTGGATGATAGGGCTAGAGCTGAATTGGGTAGATTTCTCTACCTGATGTGTAGGAAGTTAAAACTTTGCCAACGGAGAGTTACACTTTCTAGTGGGATTCTATTTGGAAATGGCTTTTAAATGTTTTAATGGAAGTTATAAAGTTGTGTTTTATGACATCAGCAGTATAACGTAGGTGGGTATATGCATGTCAGATGACAGCAGTTCCCAGATGGAGGCTGCCTATCAGCAGGTTCAGTTTTTAAGGGGAGTCTAACCAGCTGATTGATGATATCTAAACACCCTTTATATATGTGATTGCAGTGTAAAGGGTGGTCAGAACGATAGAACTGAAGAAAAGCGGTGGTTATAAGAAGCCTGTTAAGACTGGAGGGAGAACAAATGGCCATGTGGTTAAGAAATTATGAAGCTGAGGGACATGACTCAGGAACTCCAGTCATCTGGTAGTTGAAAAAAAAGCCTAACAAATGTGGGGTAGGAGTTGGGCACTGGAGAGCTCTCTCTGCTGGTCCCAAAGACTGGCAGGGGCAGCAGCACACAGATTATACAAAACCCATCTCTGTTCTTTGCTGCTGTGCTGAGCCCCACAGGGAGTGGGGTCCAGACTGATCCCATCCAGCACTCTGCAGGTACAGCCCAGGGTCTGTGCTGGAGATCAGGCACAGGAGGACTGTGTTTAATATCTGAGGCTGCAATCCAAGTTTCAGCCTAGAATTTCATAGTGACAATCCAAAAGCTTTCCAGGGATAAAGCTTTACTCAGCTGATTTCTTCACCTGCTGGGACTGGGAGCCAGAATCCTTTACTGTTGCCTCAGTTCTCTGTTGGCTGGGTTCTCTTTCTTATCAGGAGTCATCCTAGTTTCTCTCTTTGAATGTTTCTGACCTGGTATTATCAGGTTGGTTTTACTTCATAGAGCCAGTCTTAGTATATCCAGACATCTGGACTAGTTGGTCCTATACAATAATCTTTGCCAAAGAGTGTGTGGTCAGGACTCTTCACAGTTCAGGAACTGCCTTATAATTTCTGGTGATGGGGCAGAATGCTGGCGAACAACTGAGTGTCCTGTGAGTCAGATGGGTAATAGAAAATGTGTTCCCATATAGGAGAGAGGGAAGAATGCTGAAGGCCTTTAGAAATGCCCTCCTCCAGAACTGAGGTGGCACCTCTTCTCTTCCTCCTCCGTAGCTGTGTGCGTCCACCCCTAAGAAAGATGCAAACCCATGTTTTGTTTTGAGGTCCAGTGATCCCAAAAGGAGATAGCAGAGAAAGAAAGATAATTTAATCATACTCAAGGCTCAGAGGTTTCAAGCCATCACAGCCATGAGGGAAGGAAAGGCATGAAGCTCTCATGCAGTGGCTGCAAGGCTCATGTTATGGGAAAGGTGGAGGGGATTTTCATGCTGCAGCTTGTGTGCCAACTGCTGCCCACTTTTTCTTTGTGAAGGGAGAGCAGTAGGAAAAGGGGGAGGAAAGAGGGTGAGTGGTCTTCCAAAGTGGATCTGCTCCAGACTTTCACTGCAGTGGTGCAGGAGGCAATTCGGATTTGGATGCCTGGGGCAGGAATGCTGCTTGCTGTGTTGTGTTTTTTAGCAGAGACAGCAACATGAGCATAAGAGATGCTCCAGGCTGCCTGAGGGAGCTGGGCTGTGGGGCAATATATTGCACCTTTCCCATGCATAACGGCCTAAGGCAGGCATAAAGAGGAGGAGGAGAAAGAGGAGAAATAGAAATCAAACCTCTCTCAGGATATACATGGCCAACGCAACTCTATTGCTTCATTTTCTGATACTGTATAGTGCTGTCACTCAGGGACCTTTAGGAACTAGGACCTTGGGACTGTAATCCTACCTGTCCCCCTCCTATCCCCCCTTCACCTTTAGTATTGAGAACTGAAAAGAGAATGAAAGAAAGAGCATAAGAGGAAAATATTGCCCTGGTAGCAAACCCCTGCTATTCCATGGGTGAAAGTAAAGCTTTGGTCACTAAGGTAAAAGTGACCTTTTTATTCATGTCTCTAAGCATAAACCAGCCCATAGTGTATATAGGATAAGTTCACAGTGCATGAAACAAACAGGACTGTAGGTCTTAACTGGCATCCAGCTTTCTTGCATGCACATCTGACACCACGCCAGCAGATTATGTCTTGCAAATAAGTAGGGAACCTGCCAAGGCCTGGCACTTCCTCTGTCCGATGGACAGCACATCCACTTCCCAGAAACAGAGCCGTGCAGGGAACTGATCTGGCCAGTCTGTTTGACCAGATCTGCTGCAGGGGCTCTGGCAGGAGGAGATAAGGGGTGGGGGAGGGAGTTGGCTTTGTTTCCTTTTTTGTGGGTAGAAGGAAAGGGGTTTTTAAGCTCTGAGCTGTTACCAGGCAGAAGAGAAACGTCTGGAGCTGCAGATGAAAGGACAATGGCTTTAGGGAAGGTGGTTACAGAAATCCTAATGGAGAGGATGGGATGAGGAAGCGTCCAGAGGATGGGATGGGGAGAGCTTCTAACTTCAGAAGCAGAGCACATGGGAGAGAGGTGATGAAAATATATGTGCAATACAATAGGCTTTAAGGGACTA